TAATGCAACACATATATAGGAAATGATTAAAAAAGAATGAATGATAATAAGAATGAAAACATTAAAAGAAGAAAAGCAGAAATTTCAGCTCTTCTCCCTTCTCCTGTTTTCCATATCCTGTGATCGCGTCAGAGTTGCAACTTGCGTCTGAAGCAGGAGCACTCATGTGTCAATCTTCTATGTTTGGGGGAGCTTCAATCTCATCATTTGATGCTTCTATCTCCTTATAGTATGACGTTAGGCCGACCATGTTCCCATTGCAGGTGGTGGAGCTGATATGACCTCCTGGGGTTGAATTCTATTCGACTATGGCCTGAGAAACACCTAAATCTCACTGTCGATTGTACTGCCTTCAAAAACACTTGAAGTGTTCTCCCCATTTATGAGCAACGATCCACATCGGCTCAATCTTTTGGGAGCTCACTACTAAACTAAACTGGGTATGCTTATCATGTATATACTATTGGTTCCTCCCAAAGTAATCCAATGTTGGCTCAACTTAATTTGAAGTGAGGGTAGCTTGAATCTCCTCAAAAGGTGGCGACCATGGTGGTAAGCTACTAAACGGGATGTGACAAAACTCTCTTTGTATTGGCTATCATGTGTTTGAAGCTGACTCTTCTATCTCTCTATCTTCTATCATCACCAAAACGGATCCTCTCGACATTTCTCTTCTGGCACGAGCATCCTTAACTTCAAACTTTGCAGAAGGTAAGAGGACGATGCATTTTTCATCCTTTGTGAATGAGTATGTGTTCATGTATCCATCATTTTGAGTATTGTGATCTTGCTGTCCAGATTTACTCAACAAAAGGTAGCAAGCATCCATGGGCACCACATCACACTAAACTTGATCATGCAACTAGCTCCCAATTGAAAATTCCACGAGACACCTATCAATGCTGACCATGTTCTCCTTCTTCAACCACGTCAGGGAATACGACTAAGAATGCCTTTGAGTCATGAAACTTAATTTATCCATCATCAGTGTGGATGCTACGTTCTTACTGCTCTATCAGTGATGAGACTGCACACCCTTCTTTTCACAATGCAACGGGTATAGAATGTTTTGTGGGGAGGCCACTTCTGCTGCCTCGTATTCTCAGTTTGTAGGACCTGTCGAACCACGAGTATCTCGACCTCGTTCGATTGAAGATGATACTCTTTTTTTTAGTTGACTCATCGTCGCTCACTTCTTACATCTCACTCTGCTTGATGAAGGACACAACTCGGCTTGTCAATGTGTCCAAAACCTTAGTTTGTAGGACTCGCCAAACCACGAGTGTCTTGCCCTCATCCGGTGGAAGATGATAGTCACTCTTTTTTTCAATTGCTTCCCCGTCACTCACTTCCTCCACTACTCCCTTTTCGATGAAGGACATGACTTGTTGATCGGCTTGAAGTGATGTGCCAAAATCATGGCATATGAAGTATTTTATGGATGGGAATGTAGTAGGCATGCTACTCTTCTTAGTTTTTTCACTTGAAATTGCTCTGTCCTATTCTCGACCAGTTTGCTTCACTCCCTTAAGCGTGCTCCTTTTGAGGTCTCCCATCGTGGGTGGCTGCTTGACTGTTGGTGGTTGCCTGCAGAGCTTCTGCTACTTCTCCGCTTTCTGTTCTATGGCTCACACGTCACCCAGTGTCCAATGAGTTTGTAGTTGAACCATATTACTAATGGCGAGCTTCAGGCTTCCCAATTACCTGTCTATGTTGTGCTCCTTTGGCTTCTTTACTTCAAACTTCAATTTAAGCTGTAAAAATTGTCACGCACTTCTCCACTGATAGCTTATTCTGCTGCAGGTAGTGGAGCTTTAAAAAATAATTCTAACGATAGTGCTAGGGTAGGTACTGTCGCTGCACCACCTTCATTTCTTCCAATAAGTGATTATGTCCCATCATTCTTTTGTCTCTCCCTCTTTAGGCTCACCCACCACTAAGAGACATTATTCTTCAGCTTGATGGCAAAAAGCTTCAGTCTTCTATCATCAAACACCTTATTATATTCAAAGATTTGCTCAGCAGTCTGCGTCCACTTGAGGAAATCATCTAGATCCATTCTCATCTCGAAGTTCTTTAGTTCCACTTTCACTCCTGATCCTTGGTATCTTCCAAAATACACTTCAATTTTATATCTTCCAACTGGTATCTCATCTTTGTATTTTTCGTCAGACACTTCATCTCTTGGCATCCTCTGATATTGTTTCTCAAAGCTATTAATCGATCGTATTCTCCATTGAAGTCTCCCTACATAAGGAATTAAGTGGTCTTCTTGCTCTCCTTCACAAATTTCACTGTTGCGGTTGATG